AGGAGCAGGGACCGTAGAACCGCGCGCAGGCGAACCCCAGGCGACGAAGAGAGAGAGGCGGAAGGACAGGAAGTGGCGGCAGCTGATCGCTGAAAATGCAAGATAGGAATACCCCAGGCAGGAAAGGAAGGAAGAAGCAGGAAGCGAGGCGAAGTGGCCAAGCAGAGAAGCATCCAGCAACCAGCGCGGCCCGAAAGATCGCGTGGTGGAAGGTGCTGGGCGGTGCAGTCGCGCGCGCGGTCGGGGGCCTACTGCCTACTGTCGATGTCTCTTTTCTGATACGGGGCCCGCCCCAGTCGTAGCTGCGTTTGCCCTGTTTGCCGCTTCGTTCGTCAGACGCGTCGCGGTCGTGGCCCCTGCCTGATCGCCCAGTGTTGCTCCGGTCGTTCGTCATGCGTTCTTGTCGTGCGTGCCCGAAGTTGGCTTTGAGCCCGAGGTGGCGGTTGAGCGCGTAGGCGTCGTAGTTGCAGCGGCGCCAGGCGTCCAGGAAATCGTCGCAGGCCTGCCAGCTCTGCAGTGTGTCTTTAGGAGCAAAACCAGGGCGCGTTTCGCACCGCTCTGCCCAGCGGTGCCAGACCACATTGAAAGTGGCGCCGAGCTCGGATTGCATTCTCCTGATGACATGGCGGCTGTCTTCATCCCCGTTCTGTGATTCCACCAGATGTGCGGGCGTCTTGAACATTTGACAGCCGTCGTTGGCGCGGTGGTCAGCTGGCGTGAGTGGGTTGGCGGCTCCGTCGCGCCATTCGCCTCGATGCCACCTCCCGCTGGCCTGGCTGTTCCGTGCAGGGATTGACCAGGTGGGCCCGCGCGTGCGTGCGTCGTTACGTGCATTCCAGATGGAGCTATGGCTGGCCCGTCCGATGCTTGCGGGGCTGTGCGTGCGGGTCCCGCCTCGTTGGTCCTGGTCGTAGGGGCTCCGCGTCGGTCGGTCGCGTCCCTGGCTGCGGCCCTCTGGCCGAGTCCAGGCTGGCCTGTGCCGCGACCCCGCAGCCTGCTGTGGCCTCCAGGAATCAGGGAGCGAAAGCGGCTTCATTGCGTCGACGGGATCGAGGCTGCTGCTGGCCTGCTCGGAGGCGCGGAGCGTGACGGTGCGAGCCAGAGGCCTCCCGAATGGAAGCGCCCAGATACGGCCAACTCGTTTTCACGCGTCTGCTGCCGAACGGACTGTGGTCCAAAAGCGTGCGCCACCAGGGGGGCCCCCGTGCAGGTGCAACGGCAGTCTCGAGGCTGCATGAGCAGCGCCATGGCCACGCAGCACATGAACTCCTCATCCTGTAGGCCGTCGCGCACGAGGGCGCTCAACAGGGCAAGGGGAAGACCAGTGACCCGGCGCGCGTCGCCATTCGTCGCGTAGTCAACGGGGGGCTCGGCAAGGAGGGCGGCTAGCCTGGGCCCCCTGCCAGTGATGAGCAGACCCTGACACCTGCGAGCGTCGACAAGGAGGCCAGCGGCGCGCGCCACCAACGGGGGCGCGATAAGGGCCTGCAGGGTCTGCGCCGCCACCTGCGCCATAGAAGCGAGGTCATCGACGCAGGTGGGGCAGCGGTCGTTGCTGACGCTCGAAATTGCAACGATGATAGGGTCGTATCCGACGCGCCAGAGGAGGAGGGAGGCCGTCCCGCCCATGCCGGCTGAGCGAACTAGGCGCCGCCGTGGGCCTGTGCACCTGCCTTTGGTTGTTTGCGCCAGACGGTCCGCGAATAGGGCGCGCAGGGAGTGTCGGAGCTACGGCGGCAGCCCCCATCTCTTGAGCAGGCGACTGATCCACTGCATTGAGATGCGCTCAAAACGCCTTGCTTTGGTCGCGCAAAATAACTGATCTGGCAGGGACAGCGGGCATGTTTTCAGAGACGTTGTCGACGTGCCTCTCCGCGCAAGCAAGGCGTCGTCCTAGCAAGGCGTTCCAGGCCAGCCCTGGTTCCCCAGGATCCGCAGGGGCGCCCCCCAGGTGAGCGGCGGCTGCACGGATGTTGGAGCCGCGTTGCCCGCCTTTCTTGGCGGCCAGGTCGTTGCGGCTCAATCTAGGGGGCCAGTAGGTCGGCCAAAGTGGCACCATAGAGCCGCCGCATGCATGTCGGTAGCTGCAGGAGCCGTAAGTCGTTGGGGGTTTCCGCGCCAGCTTTCTTGCCGATCCATGCGAAGAGGTCGATCGAAGGCCCCAGGAAGCGTGATCCGCGCCATTCCGTAATCGGCAGCCTACCAGGCCTGGGCAAGGACGCGGGCGACGAAACGAGCTCCGCGGCGGCACACCTCGAACGGTTCTCCGTCGACGCCAGAAGCGCCCCGGGAGGATGCCACAATGAGAGAAGCGAATCTGTCCCAGTGGGGCTGCGGTCGTTCGTCAACTGCGATGGACCTGTCAATGCTAAAGTAGAAATCCGAGAGCGCGTCAGCCAACTCTGGTAGGGGCGGCGAGCTGTGCCAGATGCTGCTCCTGCTGTCCCATAATATCCGGTCCATTTCTGCACATGTTCGCGCCCAACCCCGTCGCTGTCACGCGCGCCCTTGACGTTGTGTACGTTTTGGGAGATCTCGCGTCCTGCACGATAATTGCGCGGCGCGCGGTTGCCGCCCCCGAGCAGCCATCCTCGCGCTGGTATCTCGGCGGGCCCTTGGCCCAGCAGCGGCCGCTCACCCGCGGGATGCTACGCTTGAATCTTGAAAACCACTAAAACATGGATTGGATATTGAACGGCGTCGTTTGGCAACACATTAAGATTCTGCAGGGCCGCAGCAGTCGCCCCCCCCCCCCCCCCCCCCCCCCCCCCCGCATCAGCCACCCCCATATTCAAACCAAAGATAGGGGCCATAAATTATTATATTTCAGTGGCCGGCCTGTAGATTTATGTACTGGCCCTCATGCCCAAATGATCGCTGATCGCGATAAGGCCGACATCTGCGCGACGCGACGCCAGCTGCGCGAATCGACCGAGCTTGCGATTTGAAGGAGCGCCCAGCACAGCGTCGCACGACAGTTGGACACCATGACCCGCCGCCTGCAGCAAACCCTTCAGGCGCCAATGGCGCTCTCTGGGCGGCCGGGGATTGCGGGGGGTTCCACGTCGGCCTGAACGCGCCTAGAAACGACCCTGGGCGTCTGGTGAAACCCAGATCCCCAATCCGTCGCCGAGGCGTCTCCACGAGCTTCCTCATCGACGCAAGTGGGCCCAATAGCTCCACGAGGCCCTCGGGGGAGCCAGTGGGAGAGCCCCGAGAGACGCTCGACACGCTCTAAAGCGAGCCCACCGCAGAAACACGCAAGGAACCACTCACGTCCGCCCTGGACAAGGACGCAACCCAGACCCGCGACCGGTGAAATGACAGATTTTGCGGTTTTGGCCCGCCCAAAACAGCAAAATCTGTCATTCACAGATCCGGCCTGGCGGGGGCTCCAGGGGCGGACGCCGCGCGCGCCCTGAGGCGGCGGGCCGATCGACGCAGGGCCGCGCCCTCGCTTGAGCGCGCGCTCCGATCTGCGGCGCGGCGCGCGCAGTCCTGCGCCTGAGGCCCGCGGAGATTAACCGTGCACATATTCGTTTGGGCGCGGAGATTCCCGTCGACATTGCCGGGCAGCCTTGAAATGCGCGCTGATTGAACGGGATCAAGCCGCGGCTATATAGGCACATGCGGCCTCAACGTCTGTTCGGGGGCCGCTCGAACCAACCGAAGGGCCGTTGCATCACACGTCGCGTCGCTTTCCATCAGTCAGTGAAAATGCACCTACAGCGCGCGCGTCGTCCTCGAGGAACCCAGCAGCATCTCACGATGGCCGCGCTCGCTTGGCTTGCGCGCTCCAAGGAGGCAGCGGGCAGCGAAACGAAGAGCGCGCCGTGTAACAATTCAATCAAGCGTCTGCGATCGAAAACCCAATCAACCAGTGAAAGATAAATATATCTGGTCCCGAAAAGAGCCTTCCTCTCGTGTCGGGGGCAGAGCGAGTGCCCCCCTGCGTCCGAGCGTCTCTCCGTGGCCCCGCGCTGACCGTGGGCGCGGGTGGTCGCGAGATGGGTCCACCTTGCGGTCGGTCCTGCGCACCGACCTCTGGCCCCCGCCCCGGGTCTTCTCCGTCGCCACTGCGCCCGCCAACGGGCGCGGCGGCCGCCCGCAGCCGGTCGGCGCCGGAGGGCGTCCGAGGCTCAGGGGCGCGTCTCTGGGCAACGCCCTGCATGGCTCTGTCGCGCCGCGCGCCCAGTGCCCCGGCTTGGCCCAAAAGCAACGAGATCCTGTGTGAGGGGGCGATGGGCGTCAGAGTCGGTCGGTGCCGCGCGGGCACGGTCGTCGCTACCTTGCGCCTCGGCGCCGTCACGTACTCCCCGGGCCTGAGCGGGATCGAATGGATCGGCCGGGGCGACGTCGTCGTCGGATTTTCCCCCAGGGACGCGACAGGCCAAAGCAGGTGCACAGTTCGTCTCTGTCTTCCCCAGGCGTGCGACTGATCGTCGCAAATGTACTGACGTGGCGCGGCACGCCCGCAGGCTCATCACAGGAAGGCCGCTGATCGCCGCAAATGAAGAGGAAAGGAAGGACTCATGGTTGGCTGCGCGACTGATCGTCGCAAATGCATAGGGTAAACAGTTTGCTCCAGGCAGGCGGCCGATCGCGCAAATGCATCATACTGAGGCAAGGGAGAGGGGGGGAGCCGTCGACTCCAGGCACGCGGCTCTCGGCCGCTCCGTCAGACTGGTCGAGACCCTCTTCACCTCGCGGCTATGGCAACGGACTCAACACTTCCCCAGGGTGGTCACGATCAGCGCGATCGATTGCCCGATCCTCCGCGCTCACAGTAAGGACTGTCCGGTCATGACGGCTGCCTGGGGCAATTCCCGAGCGATCGCGTGGGTTCCCAGGGGATCCGAGGTTCCGATTGTCCGCGGGCAGCGCAAGGGCTCCAAAGCCTCGCGCTAACCCCTCGCATTCGTCCCGACATCGGTCCCCGAGGCGCCAGTGCGCGATCCGTCTGTCTCCTCCTCCATCCCAACGTCGGCTAAGGCGGGGGCGAGAAGGAAATAGCGGGGACGCCACGCGGGCGGCACGGACGAGTATGGCCCCAGGGCGGCGCGGCCCGCCCGCGCATAGCGTCTGGGCGCGCCCATCGAGCCCTTGAGCTGGGGGGGCTTAAGCCAGAGGGCTACAGAGGCTGGTGGGGATAACGCGAGGCGTCAAGCATTGTGGATCGCTTGGCGCTGTAATTGATCACCTGCCATCCGAATGGCAAGCAAGATGCGCGCCATCGTCTGCCCCACGTCGCCCCTACACATGCGTCCCCACGATCATGCGCGACCCAAGGGGTAGTGAACATAATGCTCCGACGAATCGTCGGCCCTGCACGAGCAACCGAACACACAGGTCCGGCGCCCACGCCGCAGCGACCGCATGCTCCGGTCAGTTTTCCACCGTTCGAAGATCGCCTTATCACCGATGCCCTGATCCTGGGAGGCGCCCGTCTTAGGAACCTCTGCAAATGTTGCGTCACCGTACGGGCCGCGCGGCCCGGCAATTCTGTCAGCCTCCGTCCCGCCAGTCTCAAACGGAGCCTCCACTCAATGCTGTATCCATCCCGCGACAGGGTGCAGGCCATGAATTGAGGACGAGTGAAGGATGGGGGAAGGATGACGAATGGAGGACGAATTGAGGATGGGGGCAGGAATGGGAATGATGCTCACAACGCCACCAATGCATCCTGCAGCACCAAGTCGACGGGAATCGGCATACGTACCACTCGACCGCCACATTCAACAACACCATTGTCTCCTACTCGATGGGAACCAGCAGACCCTACCGAATCGGTGCCAGCGAATCTGGCAGCTCTAGCACGAAAGGGATCGGCAGCACCACTCGTAGCACCACCACCACCACCACCACCACATCCAGCAACGCCTCCAACAACAACACCAATGGTTCGGACACGACGGGAACCAACAACATCCCATTCGCAGCACTCTCCGCGCAGTCAACACCATCATTGCATCAGCGCGTCCAGCAGCAGCATTATTATCAGCATGATCATGGTACATCTACTCCAATAATCACACCACTGGTGCCTACATCTACGTCCCAATCTATACCTGACTCGTGCGTCGTCGACTGACTCCAGGTCTCAGAATGACGCCTGCCTGTATTCTCAGTCACACATGTTCTCTCCGTCTCAAGGTCATGCAACGCACCCCATCTGGATTGCCTGCTGTTTCGGTTCAGTTTTCTGCCAACAGCCCACGTGGGCTCATTACCACTACCCCTACACGACCGATACCACTCTCAATCCAAGCCCAATGCGACCACCCGCAACACCAGGATTTCCGCTATTACCGCAAACTGCTGGTCAGGCCCCGCCCCACACGACGACCGCCACTTTCCCCTCCGCCAGTCCTTCCTCACCTGGGCCCTCAATCACGAGATCTGAAATACCTTCTTGCCTGTGACCAGCCCTGCGGTAGCTGGGGCACCGCTCGTACATGTCCTCTCCTGTTCCTCCTACTCCTGCCGCCTGATTTGTTTCAATTGCCCCCCTATGCATACGTCTGCCGTGTCTAGTTGCCCGCGTCTGGGCCCGCACTCGGTGACTGCCACAAGGGGTCTGTGTGAAAAGTGAGGGCCACTCATGCAGGTGCCTTGATTCACGGATCAGCCGAGCTGCGCGGCCCCTGCTCTTCGCTTGCCATTTACTGCCTCAAACAGCCCGAACACATCCTACCTTCTTTTCTTGCCTCCTCTGGGAAGTTTAGTTTTTCGGATTCGTCCATACGTTTGGTGGGCCTGCCAGTGGAGCCTCAAACTGTGACCTGGCGTCAATCTTTCTCCCGTCTTTCCCTGCCCTCTCTTTCTCATCCCGCTCTTCACTCCCACAGTAGGGATGATTGAACCTGTAGTATCTGTTCTATCACTGTGCACGCCCCTGTTCGCGGCAACTGTCCGTCCCAGCGTTATGTGTCTCTCTTTCTCTTTGGATTCCTCTCGTCCTCTCTGTCCCCTCCTGGACTGCCGTGGTGCGGGCTTGATCTGCTATGTTTTCAACCGGCCACTCAGGTCGTAAAGGATCTTCGCACAAAATCCTGTCCCGTCTGCACCTCTTTGTCTTTGGCCTTTCCTCCTCTCTGTCCTCCTTCCTTCGGCATCCCGTTGTGGATGCCATCGCGTGTCATGTTACCAGCTTGTCCGTCTCACGTCACGGAGACACTCACACAGGGTTGGTTGATCTTGCGTGGGAGGAAAGGAGTGGGGGGAATTGGGAGGGAGAGGGGAGGGGAAATAAGACGAACGGGAGATGCGGGGAAGGGACTGAAAGGAATGGGAGTGATGGGGAGAGATGAAGAACGGGGCGAGGGGTGGAAAGGGAAGGGCTGGGGGGCAGAGAAGGAGAGGGAAGAGAAGGCGGGGAATGAACGGAGGACGAACGCCAGAAGGCGACGGTGCCCAGGCGACGAGGAGGGCAAGGCCATGGGCCATGAGCGCTGCAAGGCTTCCGCCCAGGGCCGAAGCAGAGCGAGCCCGTGGAGAAAGGCGAAAGACGGCGAGGAGGAGCACGCACAGCCAAGCAGCAGATGGAGGAGCACGAACTCAGAACTCGGAACTCGGACCCGGCGAGCACTCAGTCAGTCGGGCGTCGCGGAACACAAAACGGACGTTTCTGCCCCGCTTCGGGCCCCAGGATCCTCGGCAATCGATGCTGCCCGAAACATGCAGTCCGAGGCAATTGCATGCCGCAAGAGCAAGTGCAAGACAACTGCAATATCCGGAAGCAGGCAATTGCAACTGCAATTGCGGTTCAAGGAAATTGCAGCAGAAACAACTGCTTGATGCAAGTCCAATCCAAGCAATAACAAGACAATTGCAACAGAAGCCGCAACACTCATCCGTGGTTGTCTCATGACATCATTCGACGTTTTTCGTCCGCGGCGTCGGATGCCGGAGAAGATCACGAGGATGGCTGGCAGGCCACTCCTACTGCCCCCAGAGAGCCCTGGTCCTGTGATGTTTCACAATGAGTTCGGAGCCTCACCCGAAGAACAACGCACCTTCTCACAGCAGAGCTGGGCAGCAGAAAAGGAAACCAACTGAGCGCCCGGCCACTCGGCCCAAACCTCGTCGCCCGCCGCCAGCGCAGCGACCTCGTCACTGCCTCGCCAAAGCCAGAAGGGCCGCTCGGCTCAAAGACTGCCAGACCTCGGCCCTGCTGCCGAAACCACTACGATTGGCTGATCTACCCGATGAGGAGCCCAAGGAGAATGAGAAGGAGGGGTAGGCAGAATGCGAGAAGGTGGAGATGAGGAAGGGAAAGCGGACGGAGAGATGGAAGGACTGGAGAGAGAGAGAGAGAAGGGGGAGAGGGAGAGAAGGGGGGGCAACGGTCACGTGACACACCTCGGATGCTTTGCCCCAACTCTGCCAGAGAGAGTGACCGGGACAAAGTGCGGGGGCGAGAAGCTGGCAGCGAAAAGCTCAAAGCGGCGTCGTGCAATTCGATGTGCCATTTCCCAAAAATGATGCTTGTGCTCAGGGTTTTTTTACTCGTGTTCGCAAAAGAAGTGGATGGGTGTGCCAGGTTTTCGTCTGGCGCCCGCTCAGTGGCGCTCGTGGGCGCCTTGTGCGTTGGGTGGGTGTGCCCAGGCCTGGCCTGGTGCCCACCTGTGGGCGCCTCGTGCGCTGGGTAGGCGTGCCGAGGCTCCGCCTGGTGCCCACCCGTGGGCGCTCGCGGGCGCCTCCTGCGCTGAGCGGGTATGCCGACATGTCGTCTGGTGCCCACCCGCGAGCGCCTCTTGGGCGCCCGTGCACACCACATGGAGTGCGCCGTGCAGCCCACACCACAGAACTTACACCACGCAGCTTGCACCGCACAACTTGCACAAAGCGTGCCTCCGGTCACGGGGTGGGCGTGTCCTCGGGTCCTTTGACTAATGCCTGGAGCCCCAGCCTGTCCTGAGGAGTCGTTCAAGGGCCCGGGTCCCAAATTCGAAATTTGGCGGGGCATGCCAGGTGCCCCGTGGCTTGTCGCATGAATCGAAGACGCCTACGGCGAATCACCGCCGCCCCCTGCCTTCTAGAATCGCCCATGTGGCCAATCGTTGCGGCAAGAGCTCCGCCAAGCTATCGGACCGTGCGCTCCCCCAACCGCTGTGGAAACCCTTCGGGGAACACTTGGGGGAGGATGGCGGAGAAGATCAGGAGGAGGCGGAGGAGGAGAAGGAGGAGGAGGAGGAGCGGGAATCTTGGGAGCCGCTGGGGACACTCTTGGGGCCTCCTGAGAGTTTCCTGGGAGCCTCTTGGAGGCATCTTGGGGCCTCCTTGGGCCTATTGGGTGCATTTGGAGGCTTCTCGGGAGCGTCTTTGGCCGTCTTGGTGGGCTCCTCGCCCGTCTGACGCCGTCGGAAGACGTCTTGGGGGCCTCTCTGGGCCGACTTAGTGCCCTCTCTGGGTGCTCCAGGGCCGTCCTGGAGGCTTCCACGGGCGTCGTCTTAGAGACCTCTTGGGCCGTCTTTGGGCTCTCTTGGGGCCGTCTTGGGGGCCTCTTGGGCAGTCCTGAGGCCATCTTGGAGGCCTCTTGGGCGCTCTGGGGGCGATATTGGGGGCTTCCTGGGCCGTCTTAGTCCGTCGGAAGGCCGAAAAGGAGCAAATGCCAAACTCCTTCAAAAACTTAAGAGGAAATCGATGGTTTTAGCCTCGTCGGGCCTTCCTGGGGGGCCCTCTTGGACGCCTCTTGGGCCGTTTTGGGCCATCTTAGGGTCATCTCGGGCCGTCTTGGTGGGCTCCTGGCGCGGCTGACGCCGTCGGAAGACGCCTTGAGGGCCTCTTTGGGCCGACTTGGGGCTCTCTCGGGGTGCTCCAGGGCCGTCTTGGAGGCTTCCTTGAGCATATTAGAGGCCTCTTGTGCTCGCCCGAGCTCATCACGCGGTAACGTGGCCAGCATATTCACCTCGTTCGCCACCGAGGCCGTCTTCGGCTCCTTGGCACGCAGCCACTCCTGCGTCTCGATACGGGCGGTCCGCCCGCCCCAGTAGAGTTTCGCCAGCACCGCGGGTGCCACCCTCGTTCTGACGCCGCCCGCCTGGGCCCCGACAGCAGGCCTGTTCTGCTGCAGCGCGCTCAGCAGGCTATCCTTCGGGTTGGTGGCCTCCAGCCTCAGCTGCGCGATCTGATATTTCAGCGGGTCGTCGAACTCCCCGCCAATCTTGTCCCGCGAGCCGCTGCTGCCACTGCTGCTCGCAGGCGTCGGTGGTGAGCCCGCGGTCGCCTTGGCGGAGTCGCGCTGGACAACG